AGCCCTAGTAGTTGTGCTACTGTAATAACCAAAATGTACAACATAAAGTGATATCAAGAATATGTGTTTCAGCTTACATATACTGAAAATAAGGAGGCCCATATTCTTCTAGCCAGTTGTATATATTTTCTGGAATTATTTTATTTACCGTAAATGAAAAATGTTCACAATAACACAAAGGAATATACAACAAAATGAAGACACCCCTTCCTGTTTGTTTGTTTTAGTTATTTATTTATTTTATTTTGTAGAGTTTAATTTTTCCTTTTCGTGAATGACTAAATACCAAATTACTGAAAAGCTTGAGAAACATGTAGAAGGCTTTCAGCTATATGTACTAACATATATACATGATAGTGACATGCCAAATTGTCATCATCAGATCACATGTATGACATATTGATGACATCACTATTGCAGCTGTCTCCAATGTTGTAGCTACTGTTAACCTTCTGCATTTACTGCAGAAGTTCCACAAGTTATGCTCAGTCCCCATCACAGAGCAAACCATGTCTCATATTGGGAAAATATTGAAAGTCGTGTAATGTAAATTGGAGAGAACCCAACTGAGAACCTTTTGTTTCAGAAAATGAATCTCCAGAAAGCGATTCATGTTAATAGAATTTATTCAGAGGGGATGAAATGGATATTCACTATGAGGAGGAGGTAATGTACAGTATGATTGCATGTTTATATGAATGCTACAATACAAAGAGAGGAGATCACTGCTCACAGAGCTTACATACTATTATTAATGATACAATACAAACATAATACACCCTGTTCCAAATTATATTGCAAATGATATTTTTCTCATTTACCTAAATAATTGATGTAAATAACAGTCAGCATAATTCTCATGTTATCAACTATTAAGAGTACAATTCAAAATTTATTGAACAAACCTCCTATTAATAACAGTATTTTTTTAAACATAAAAAACTTACAATGCACTGTTCCAAATTATTACGCACAGTAAGTTTCAAAACACTTTATAGGTTGTAAAGAACTGGAAATTGTAATTTGTTGTGTTTGCAGCATATTTACTGAAATCAAAAGCTATTTCACTCAAACTTAACATTTTAACTTTTTAAACATTTTAACAGGTCATGTTACATTTTAACATAGGACCCCTTAGTTGATCGCAGCTTCACAAGTCTTGCATCCATTGAACTTGTGAGTTTTTGGACAGTTTCTGCTTGAATTTGTTTGCAAGATGTCAGAATAGCCTCCCAGAACTGCTGTTTGGATGTATTACGGAAAGCATAGTTCTTCCTTCTGTACACGGGAAGAAAGTGGTCAGTCACCTTCGGGGACCCTAAAGGGGCCGACCAGCTCTCTTCCCATGATTCTGGCCCAAAACATGACTCCACCACCGCCTTGCTGACGTCGCAGCCTTGTTGGAACAGGGTGGCCATCCACCAACCATCCACTACTCCATCCATCTGGACCATCCAGGTTTGCACGGCACTCATCAGTGAACAGGACTGTTTGAAAATTAGTCTTCATGTATTTTTCTGCCCAATGCAGCCGTTTCTGCTTGTGAGCATTGGTTAGTGGTGGACGAATAGAAGGTTTATGCACAGTTGCAAGACTCTGGAGGACTCTACACCTTGATGTCCGTGGGACTCCAGATGCACCAGCAGCTTCAAATATCTGTTTGCTGCTATATAATGGTGTTTTAGCAGCTGCTCTCTTGATCCGATGCATGGATCTGGCAGAAATCTTCCTCAATGTGCCTTTATCTGCACGAACCCGTCTGTGCTCTGAATCAGCCACAAATCTCTTAATAGTGCGATGATCACACTTAAGTTTTCGTAAAATATCTAATGTTTTCATACCTCGTCCAAGGCATTGGACTATTTCACTCTTTTCTGCAGCAGAGAGATCCCCTTTCTTCCCCATATTGCATGAAAATGGTGCTCTGCTTAATAATGTGGAACACCCTCCTTTTTTCCCCTTAAATTGGGCTCACCTGGCAATCTAATTATCACAGGTGTCCGAGATTGTTTTCAGTGATCAAAAGAGCCCTGAGGGGGCGTGTCCTGGCGGGGGTACCGAGCGGTCGCATGAACTGAGCGCTCCGCTCCGACGGCAAGGAGCACTCCGGCTATTTAGCCAAAAAAAAAACAGGGCCCCATACACCCCAAGTAACCATGTCCCAGGCTAAAGGGAAGAGGCAGGCTGACAAGGCAGAACGGAGCGCATTTTTCGCCGCACGGTCACAACAGGGGAGACAGACCTTGCAGGGAGAGACCCAAGATGAAGAGGCTGGAATACAGCAGCACACTGAATCTGAAACGGACACTCCTATCACACAGGAGATGATGCGGGCAATGTTAGATGAGATGTCTGCAAGAATAGAAAACAGCTTTAAAGCCACAATTGGGGCACTACATAAAGACCTAAGAGAATTGGAGGTGAGAACTGCTGGGACAGAATCCAAAATGGCAGAGCTACACGTGGCTCACAGAGGAATGGAGGAGGGGCTGACAGGGCTACAAGATCAAATGCAGCGGTATGAGACGAAGCTAGCAGACATTGAAGACAGGGCACGCCGCAATAACCTGCGCATCCGTGGGGTGAGTGAGGAGGTGGGACCCACGGAATTGGCGGCCTACTTGACGGGCCTGCTAAAAATGCTAGCGCCAGACGTACCGCATGATATGCTGCTCATGGACAGGTTCCACCGGACCGCTAAGCCCAGCTTTCTCCCTCGGGACACCCCAAGAGACACTCTTATCAAAATGCACTACTACCATGTGAAAGAACTGGTGCTTCAGGCAAGCCGCCAGAAGAAAACACTCCCAGATCCATATGGCAGGCTGCTGCTATTTGCAGACATATCGACATTCACGTTGAAACGTAGGAGAGAATTCAGAGGTGTCACAGAACAGCTCCGGCTCCACAAGCTGCCATACCGCTGGGGTTACCCAGTGAAAATACTGGTGTCCAGAGAAGGGAAAGTGTCAGATATCAACACGGTGGAAGAAGGAGCACTACTACTCCAAAGATGGGGACTCCCCAGGCCAAGCCAACAACACAGCCCACAGAGGACCCGCGGAACCTCCAAAGACTGGAGAAACTCCAAGAGACCGACATGAAAGGCATCACCACAACTACAACATTCCTGCGAGCTCTTCCACAGTGACTATTGAGAGACTGGTCCTGATAAATAGACCATGGAGTCAACCAGGGGTATCGTATTAGCCATGTCTAATGTTTTGCCATAGTT